GGCGGTGCCAAGGCAGCATCTAAGTTGGCCAAAGGAGGGTCTGTGGAGCGGAGAAGGGATTGACTTCCGTTGTCCAAGGATGTAGGTTGATCCATGAGAGCACCCTCTAACGTGGACACCATGTCAGGGGATATTTTTGTTGGCGCGGAGAACGATGAAGACATGGTCGGAAAAGCTGGCCGATGTGGGCCGCGAAAGAGTTCGGTGAGTATGAAGAGGACACAGTCCTGAGACTCCCAATATACAGCGTGACTTGACAGAGCAAACAGGTAGTCATTCAGGCTCTCCAGGGGGCCCTCCTAGGAAGGGAGTGGAAAATATCGGATAGAGGAGGTGGGAGGGACTAACAAGAAAGCCTAGGATCCCGAGGTCAAATCGGGAGGAGAGGATATGTGAGTGGTTAGGCTCAGCCTGTTGCACTTACCCCTTAAAACGAAGCCCGATAGGAATTCATAGTAGGGCCGCCCAGTGGTAATAGGAGTTGCTCTAATAGTTTTCCTGGTCTATAGGCTTCCTTTGCTAACCAATAGGAATTGCTCTTCCAGTTTGGCTGGTCTTTTTATTCATGTTACAACCTTTTTACCTATGTTTTACCTCGGTTAAACAACTACAAGGGTCTTCAATTTATTTCCTACTGGGCATTTATCACACAGAAAACACGTATTAGCTAACTATTAATCAAGCATTAAACCTTTAACCCCAAATTTCGTAGGATACTTGGGCTGAGAGACTTGCCACTAGATGGCCCTACGACGAATCCCTACCCAAACCCCCAACCACACTGCATCCTGCGAACGCGTCAATCCCCAACACCATTCCAACACCATTCCAACAAATGAGACACTGTTGTCCAAAGATATGTATAGTAAACATCAAGTCAAGAGTATCGTTCCTGAGGTCGGTAACTAAATGATAACGTCCGTTTAACCCTATCAGCATGGATTTAGGGAGGAGTGATTTCATTTCAGTCTTGTCGTTTAGTTCATTCTATGGCTGAACAGTCAACCGAGCCTTAAACGAGGACTCGGATAATAGAGGTCAGACGATAAGAAAAATGGTAACCTGGCGTAATGAGGGCTGTTAAATGGATGAATTAAGCTACAGTTAATAAGCAGGCCTTCGCTTCGGACTCCAGCAGCAGCAGCAGACCGGCGACGACTGGCGACGGCTCGCATATCACCGCTAGCCATACAAAGGTACCGGTCACTGTGGAATCAACAGTAGATTCTAGTGGGTGCAACGCCCTAACAATTATCTAAACGGGATCTGGTTTTCTGAAAATGAAGACAGGTCCGATAATTTGACAGCACTCAAGGCAGGGAAGAGCGTAGCAAGTGAGTTCCGTTAGCGGTCGGTGAACGTTCATCAACGAGCACCCGATTCCTTAGTGTATACTTAATACAGTATCTTTACATTCAGTAACTGCATGGGACACAGTTCAGTTTTGCCTATTTTTGACCTAAATTTGTTGTACCTGTGACACTCGATGACTTGCGCTGACTTGCTGTGACGTGCTTGTCTGACTAACCTCTCTCTCTCTCT